TTGGCCCATCAGGTTCGGGCTAAATTGACATCCCTATCCCAAACCACAAAGGTTAACCACAACGCAAAGGATAAAGACAAGACCGATGGCAACACATGCCAAAGCAACACATGCCTCCGTGACTACACACGTCACGAGAGAAGAACACACAACGTTGGCTATACAAGCCCTCGAAACATCACCCATCACGAGTTGATATGCCTTCCTTATGCCATGTTCCAACCTTATGGCTACCCCCAACCATTACCTCCAGGACCCCTGTACTTCTTAGTCCAACCTTATTCCCCCGGGACCGTCATCCCCCACCAACGACCACCAACAAGACCAACAATTCATAGTACACAAGGTACCGTACACGACAACACATGCCCGGATAACACATGTTATCCCCCAAAAACGTGAACCTTACACAAAGGCCACAACTCCATAATCACGTCACGGCCACCACGAGGAACGCTGCAATACCTTGGTGACTAGTGTCCCATACCACTAATCGTGCAATCCAGGTAAAGCCACTCACGCACCACAACTCAACAAGAGTCAAACAACGGATCACAACGATGGTATGAAACATACTCAATCAAGGAACGGGTCACACCCCAACAACATTAACGATGAATAACACAAGTTATCATCAACCAAACGGAAGGTACAAACAACACACACGCTAGCATTAAGACAATAAACTAGCATGCTTAACAACAGAGAAACTCAAGATAGTTCCGAGGAACACACAAGACACCTCTTGGTCCAACGAAACATCAAGAAGACGCTCAAAAAGTTCCACAAAAGAACATCGGGAAGTCAAAAGACCAAATACCGAGTAAAATGAATCACGGGGAACAAATCCCGATCCAACTCCACTGTGTTCCCCGCGGGTGGACCCACGGGTAGGCTCCCACCCGTGTTTCTGCCCGCGGGTACACAACCCACGAGGCTTATGTTCCCCGCGGGTGGGCGGCGGGTGGAGCTCGACCCGTCGTTCCGCCCGCGGGTACATCTACCTGTGCAAAATAATCCCTTCGGGGATTTTCTTCTCCAAACACGAATTCAAGTCCCAAACATGCCAAATCTCACCAAACACAACAAAATGACTTGAATCATGGAAAATTCCAAGCAATGGCACAAAGGAACCCTAAACACAAACTCTAGATATGCATTATCACAAGACACATGCATAAACCCTCACATTTCATAGCAACACACATGTAGAATCCAAGAAATCACATATAGGTAAGCAAAATAGGTTTTGTAGAGCATGGGTTACCTCTTGTAGACCAAAAGACTTCACTTTACACCACAACAAGCTCCCCACAAGGCTTACTTTCCAAACCCACTTCAAGATTAAACCAAAAGATCATAAAGATCCTACCTTTAAGAAAAACACAACTAAGATGAAACTAAAAACACAAGATGGACTTAGATCTTACCCTCCTAGATGCCCAAATAGGTGAAAGGTTGAATCTTGGAAGCAAATCTTGGAATCTTGATAAGGGTCTCAACTTGGCTTGGAGAATGAGCTACACCTCTTTTCTAGAGAAAAGGTAGAGCTAATTTCTAGGAAATATAAGGAATGAAACGAAGAAGTCTTCTAGGTTAGGTTACAATACTAACTCTTGGTGAAAAGTCAAGGATACCCTTACTAACCTTTAGAAAGTGTAAGGAACAAGGGAACTCCCCTCAAAGCTCAAGGTACAACACAACTTTAAGGTTGACTAGTCAAATACTAGTCCTTGAGTATTAAAAATCAGGATTTTAGGAATTAATTTGTAACACCCCGTGTTACGGCCCCTAAAACCATTTAATTAATTAATCAATAGCCCAAGAGAAAGAATAAATTATAATGATTAATTAGGGAAAAAGGCCCACCATAGTCCATGGGCCCTCATCTCTAAACCCAACCCCTAATCCCAATAGGATTAGACCCTAAATAAGATCCCTAGATCTATAAATAGAAAACTTAGGGGGCACCTAGAATCCCCACCACCATAATCTCTCACCACACAAGAAGTTCCAAGAATCCCCTTAGGAGAAATCAAGAAAGAAGAAGGCTTAAAGAAAGATCCTTCAGAGCCAAGGAATTAATTAAGGCTAAGAGGTAACCCATGTCTCAACAAAACCTATTTTCATAGCTATGATTCCCCCTTAGGGTTTCCCCCATATTATTGTGATTGGCGAGATATGATGATGATTATTAATGTTTGATGTGATGATCCCATGAGGGATCTTGATAATCTTGATATTGGGAGATTCTTGATAATTATGGTGTTCTTGATGATTATACGGAATTCTTGATGATTAGGTGTTGTTCTTAATGATTATGTGATGCTCTTGATGTTTATGTGCTATTCTTACCGAATCTTGCAATTAGAAGACGAATCGTATTCTTGTTGATATAAAAGTGATTAGAACCCTAGGTTGTATCGTATGATATTATTCTTGGTTTATCGGGTGGGGAAATCGCATGTTTGGGTGTTGATTATGTCTAGAAAAGCGTGATGGGTTATGTGCCATTCGTTTCTCGTATTTGATCCGTTAATTGTCTACGTGTTGTCGTTAATTGCGTTGAAAGGTGTCTAAGCATGGTTTCGGGTTCCACAATGGTTCCCGGGGCGCAAAAGTGATGAAAGGAGTCAGTGGGGGGTAGGTGGGGGGGTAGGGGACCCGCCACCTACCCACGACCGTGAAACACCGCCCGGCAGCGGGTAGCCGGCGGGCGGGCAGCTGCCCGCCGGCGACCCGCTGCCCGGAACAGTACTTTCCGGCGAGCAGCCGGCGGGTGGCCCCCACCACCGGCTACCCGCTGGAATTTCCCCCACCTTGGGTTCCCGGCTTCCCCGTTTGATGTTCCCCTGTTCCCCGTGGTGTCCCAACGGACTCCGTTTATCGTGCCTATGTCTAGTTTGATGTTTCGGGTACCGTTCGTAGGTTTATGAGTCTATTATATTGCATGCTAGTTGAATTGGTATCCCGTTGACCTAGGTGGAAGGAGTATGAACCCCTTAGGACTATTCTTAGTATGTGATGGGTCACGCATAGGTTTTGTTACACGTTTTCTCCCCCTTCCCAATGTGTAATGTGGGTTGCATGTGCTTGCTACGTGTTATGTGTGTGTGTTACCCCAATTCGGTTGCGATCGGATTGGTTATCCTGAGCTGCGGTTCAGAAGCTGGCTGCGGTCAGATCGATACTCTTGGGCTGCGGTCCACCGTTTGGTTGCGATCAAACGTTTCTATACGAGCTGCGGTTCGTCCTTTTTCCTGGCTGCGGTCAGATGACATTCTCTTGGGCTGCGGTCCACTGTTTGGTTGCGATCAAACACTATGATGAGCTGCGGTTCATCGGTCGGTTGCGATCGACCCCTCCGTGTTGCGATACGGGGCAGGGTGCTGCGGGGCCGTGTCAGAGCTATATGCGCTGACCCTCATGTATGGGCATGCGATTGGTCCTGTGGCGCCAACAAAGTGTGTTATGTGTTGTGACATGGACGAGTTGTGATTACGAGTGTCTTGGGGGATGTGACTATGGGATTTATATTGGGGATTGTTTATGTTGGGTTGTGATTATTGTTATGCTTTGCCTTATTTGCCTTATCTGTTGTGAACTGCATATGCTCGTTATAACTGTTGCTTGTGTCTGGCCGTATCTGTCGAGTCATTCCCGGTTTTAAAGCTAGAGTTCGTAGGATATATCTTCATGCTCAAAATGGTTTTCGTATATCTATATATATCTCTATATGTATTGTATTTCAACGCGTTGGAGTGGGTTACCAGCATCTCTCGCTGAACAGATATATTTGGCTTTCAGGCACAGAAGATTAAGTCACTGGAGCGCGCTAGAACTTGGAGTATAGAAGTAGATAGTTTTCCTTTTTGGCCTGCGTGCCACGTTTACGTAATTACGCTTTGAGGATATTAGTTAGTTAGCCTGTGCACTTGGGTTCTCTAGCCCAGGTGTGGCATAGCACCCCGTACGCTTGCATTTATTTCTTGGGATTTAATGAGATTCTACCTTTATTATAAGTTTTAAAAAGTCTTGAAAATCTGGGGTGTTACAGTTGGTATCAGAGCCTAAGTTTGACCCTAGGAAAAGACTCTTAAGACCGGACTTTAGGACATTAGGCTTGAACTCTAGGTACCTAGGAACGTAGGACTCAGGAATTTTAGGACGCGCGGTGAGATTGTGAAACCTACACATAACCTTCCCGCACTTTACCCTTCCCCGTTCTAAAACCCTTCCGCACTTATCACTTCATAAGAAGTGCATCGGACTCTAATTTAACGTTCTTATAAACACTGACCAGAAAGACGATAGCATGGCGCCAAACAGAAGGCAATCAAGAACTCCAGAGCCCGCTACTGACGACCCCCTGACCCAAACCCTACAACAACTAACACAAGTCGCGCAGGCACTAAGTGACGTGGCCCTTCGCAACAACAGGCCCCCACCGCCTCCATCAAACGCAAACTCAGACATCGCCCGACAGGTTTCAAATCACCGACCACCCACGTTTTCGGGAGAAGAGGATCCCGCGGTCCTGGAAGAATGGATACAATTGTGGCTATGTGGTTATCACCTATAGAGGGAAACAACATATCCGGTGGGATGTTAACATTTGCATAACCATCATTCGGTCCACCCATTCTTCCATCTCTAATGGATGCAATCCATTTTGCAAAATCTTCAACTTGTTGTAGATCAACACCACGCTCCATCATATTCAATCTTAGATTCTTTGTTAATCTAAGAACTTACATGTATCCCAAAGATAAGAAGAATTTATAATAGCTCCTACAATGTCTTGTTTAGTACCTTTAGGTATTACGGGAAAGATTTGTCTAAAGTCACCCCAAAGACAACAATCTTACCACCAAAAGTTTTATCATCACTCAATGGATTATGGAATCGCACCAAATCTCTTAGTGTTCTATCTAAGGCCTCAAAGCAGTGTTTGTGCGTTATCGGTGCTTCATCCTAAATTATTAACTTTGTTTGCAGAATTAATTCTGCGAGGTGGCTACTATACCTTGACTGATATTACATGTTGAATCTTCATTCAAAGATATTTGTATTGCAAATCTAGAATGTGCAATTCTGCCTCCAAGCAGAAGTAATGACACTATGCCACTTGAAGCAACATCGATATCACCTTTAGAACGCAACTTTGTAGACAACCCCTCCAAAGAAATGTCTTCCCAGTACCCCTGTAGCCATATACAAAGAACAAACCACCATTATTCAACGTTACATCGCCCAAGATTGTTTCATATACTTCCCTTTGTTCATTAGTCAATTGCTTTTCCATACTTGGACCCTTTACATGTAGTGCTGCACGGTCATAAGCTAATTTTTCAGACAATAGCCTATTATCAACCAAACATGTGCAATCAAAGTTGGGTAATGGCACATGCGGAAAATCTGCCAACGACTTGTTGTACAACTGCAACAGTTTCTCCAACTTAACCAAGCCAAAATTCTTCTTTGCATCATCTGTCAGTATCAAATCTGCCATGCACAAAAGAAGGGAATTATAACCGGATCGTTAGGTTAATTATTAAACATAACAATTAATGAAGTTAAAAAATGTAACAGTATGGTGAGAATAAACCCTTGTTCTGTAACATTCTCCGATCCGTCTATTAAACTGTGCATCCTCTGAATGATATTGCCACACCGCATTCCAAACGACCTCAAGCCTATTGAGTAGATTCGATGTCAACAATATCACAAATAATTTCCTCAGAGCTGGACCAGTTGACCAATGATTTGCCTATGTTATTGCATCAACATATTATTTGTCATCGTCAAGTAGCCCACGCGCATAACATGCATCTCTAAAGCTTGAATACTCTACTCCTTTAAAGGTCATGATATCTTTAAAACTGGTAGGACCCCGTACCACATTCAAGAGGCATCTCAAGTAATATATTTCACCGCTACATGGTGGAACATAAAAGATGCGACCAACTGGGAAACTCTCTCCCTTTGATGCCATTCTCTAATATCTTTCTTCCAAACAAATTTGGTAGGCATTTCAATATACGTCAAGTCCTTCGCCAGATCAAATTTTTTATTTGCCTCGAACCAGCAAGTGAACATACTCTAACTTACTGTAGGACGATTTAGGACATTGTCTATGCGATCATCATCCTCGAACACAACTTACTGGCAATTGGGCAGATGGAAGCTTAGGCGTTCCACTGGAGGCGTCCTGAATTGAACCTCGAATCCAAACAGTCGCCATGTTGCTTCACATGTAGAGATGTATTTGCTATCATAGTTTATGCTTATCTCATCAATTACCTCATTTGACTGTTCATCAGTTGTGTTCTTGTAGAACTCGGCTGTAACTCTGTCATTTTCTTTGTTGACATACTTGAAAAAGTACTTGATAGATCTCGATTGATTGCACCATTCAACATTTATATGTGTCTTATACTTTAGGAGTAGGTATCTGTTATGTGGTACAACATATCTATTGTCTAACACCACGCCATTCTTCAAGATAGTCCTGCCATCATCCCAACGCCTGTATATCGGATTGCCATCTTCATCCCAAGAAGAAATGTCAACAAACTTCTTTGGGAAATGCTTGGAACATCGTCCGTTAACCATGCACGATGATTTCGACCTAGAAACAACACAAGGTCTGTGTACCATAAATTCTTCAACAGCGTTGTAGTAATCCTGGCCTACATCTTTGTCTGGAATCTCTACTGATATTATGGAGTCCATGAAGTTTGCGGTTGATTTTTGATTAGTTCTTTCCATAAAAAGCAAAATGTGTGCATGTGGTAAACCACGCTTTTGGAACTCAATTGTGTATACAACTGTAAAGGAAAAAGTTTGAGAATAATTACATCATCTAATTTGAGTTATTATAAAAAAGTGTAGGTTTCTATAAACTATACAATTACCTACAGTAACTACTTAATAATTTACCTGATCTCAGCTCTTTGATCAAACAATCTAACTTCAAATTAAAAAGTCTACAAACAATGTCTGGCCTATCTTCAACTTTTAAGCTACGCCTTCCATCGGTACGGATCGTACCACCAGTAGTAAACTGTATATCCTCCCTATACCCATCTTCGCCATACCGGAACAAAATAGGATACTGCAAAGGTAAGTAACACGGATTCAACTCATTTATCCTTTTGAGACCACCACTCTTACACTCTACCAATAAGTCACGCTCTCCCATGCTAGGGTCCAGATCGCCAACAAATAAGAACTGCAACCTCGGAAACCATTGGTAAGCTATAAGTTCTTGCATCGTTGGCCTGTTTACCAATAAGTCTCATCTTAATCTCCATTCTTGGGTTTGAGTCAATTTCATCCTTAGCTAATTTGAATGATTTAACTAATACATTATGCTCATCTAGAACATATTTAATATCTTTAACTATGTCAACATGTATATTTTTTCTATCATCGTCTTTCCTACAAAATCAAAAGGATGGAGAAGTTTATTAAAATTTAAAAGTAATTAATTTTAAAATATTATATATATTAAAATTTATTAACCTGAATGAGCAATGCGGTTGTCAATCTCATTTTGTGTGTCGTGTATGTAAAGTTGTGCAAACTTTGGCTTTTTACCATCCTGTGCTAATAAACTTCCAATTAAATGAAAGTTCTGCCCATTAATTCTATAAATTGGTGGAGCATTTCCAGTATTTATCAATTTGTCAACCTTGCCACCCATTGACCTAAAACAAAACATGTTGTTATACGTTCGAATGTTATGCGAAAACTTTGTCCTTTTATCACCATGACAGAAGAATAAATAAATAAAAAAATTTCGGAGGCATTCTTAGTTGAGGCAACTTAATTTTCCCATGCCCACAACACCCACGAATCTGGTTATACCATCCACAATGCCTTTATTCACACGTTCCTCGTACCAAAACAATGCATGTCAATGCTCACATAAATTAGTCAGGTCGCCGATGTCTGCATACTCAACTAAATAAAAAAGAGAGAGAATTCAATTAAAACCAACCTAAATAATCTTCATATGGTGAATTCTAAGATAAAGGCACAATTCATTATCACTTACCAACTGTTGCATCCATTTTTTGTTTTTTAATCTGATGATCTATAACTTCATCAAATTCTAAACTTAGGTTACAACATGTTGATGGAGTTTGACTTGTGCCTTGTCTAGTGGATGGTGATACCATTTGGCATCGATGAACTGTCCCTTGCATAACTAAATGACAAATAAAACAAAAACATGTTAGAAAGATGTTGATGCTAAAATAAGAATTTAATAAAAATGACTCGTACTAACCATTTGTCACAGCACTCAATGGTAAATTAGTTTGACCTTGAAATTGTGTTTCAACAACGTCAATACTACTGTTGTTCATGTGTTTTTTCTTGGACACTAAAAAACATGTACAAAATTAAATTGATATCTCTTATACATAAATAAAGACATTGCAATAAAATAAAATAATTTACAATTAAACTTATGTAAACAATAATTTTATTACCATGTATATTACTTGGACTCTTATCCATCCATTTATGGGAAGGACCTGCTATTGATTTTTGCGACCGAGTAATATTTGATCTTACTAAATTACCACTTACATATTAATGTTTTTTTTTCATAAATGTTTAGCAAATAAGTATATAAAAAATTATTACAAACTTAGTCATAACGTAGTTACTATGAGTTATAAAGCTAAATAGAGAAATCAATGATACTTGAAAAACACCATGGAGGTAGCTAGATGATGGATTGCAATCTCTATTACTGTTGTTAGTAATACCATCATTTCTCTCATATGATTGCAAACTATCATTCTCTGAAAGGGAAATGGACATAAAAATAAGTTTAGACAAATGAAGACACAAAATTAACCAACATATGCACTCAAACAATTAAATATAAGCAAACAAATTAACCAAGGTTAGAGTATCACTACAAAAAAAAAAATTCAATATGTAAAACAAATATTAATAAAGAGCAAATATATCCTATAAAAAAAGAACAAATATATCCTATAAAAAAAAGAGCAAATAGACAACATATATTAACAACTATTAATACCTAAAGGAAAGGGCCAATTACCAGCCTAACAACATGTTTTTTTTTTTACTTCTAACTTAGCCCAATCTACTGAGCCCATTCCCTATACCCGTTCCAAACCACCAAATCAGTGCTACAACCCATCCCCTTATCTGTTCCGGCTCTCCAGATCAGGAAATTACAGACCATTCACCATAGTATTATTTGTCACTCGTTCTCTTAGCTAGGTTTACCATTTAGACCATGAAATCGCGGCTACAACCCATCCCCTTATTCTGTTCTGGCTCTCCAAGTGACGGGAAACTGTGTCCGTGCCATTTTAGCATCCGTCGCTCGTTCTCTTAGCTAATTTTTTTTCCGAACAGATATACACAAATGCATATATCTGTTCATCGTGTCTCTTACATGAGCTATTTTGCACGTTTCACTCGCAAAAATCAGAGGAAGTTGTTCTTGAGCCATTTGTTCTGCATAACCTAGATAAGTATTTTCTTTACAATTTTTCTTAAATTTATGTGCCTCAAGGTGTTTCGAATCAGTTCCATTTACTGCTTCTTAGAAGGAATTGCTACGGACTCAGATATTACTTACCATTACTATTTATTTTTGCTTACTATTCGTACATAACATCTTAGTTTCACTGGGATTTTGATGTATGAATAATGATAGCAATATCCATAATCTCTGATATGTTTATTCTTTATCCCTGCTTGGATTTCAATTTCTTACAGTTCTAATATGCAATTTTACACTAACTGTGGTTGTTTTGATTATATGTTATTGTTCTAACTACTTTTGGAATAGAGATCTAGACATGCACAGGTCAACTAATTGTAATTAAGTACTCATATTTTAATGAACTGTTTGTTTAACTCTGGAAAAATCTTAAACTCTTATCCAAAATTAGTTTGGAATTTTTTGCTCTTAATAACTCTTAGTTTCTGGTTTTGCAAAGTACTTGCTATTAGACATAGTATTTACCATGTATTTGTTTACCCTCATATCATATATACACCTTAGAATTTAAAAACATTGGAAGAAACTTAAAAAAAGAATTGAATTTACAGGACTAAGAAGCTTTAAAAGTTGAAAACTACTTTTGTTTTTGAATAGTTGCTTCCTCTTCTTACCAATGGTTGTTGAAGTGGTTAGTTTCCTCATATTTTTGTAGAGATATTTAAGTGTATACTGTGGATAATTTTACATTGGTTGACATATATATAAAGAGATAGTTTCAGTGGTATGGAATATTTAAAATTCAAATTATTGTCTTCAATACATATTGATCCCAATATGATACAATTATTTAATACTATTATCTGCATGCATTATTTTTGGGGTTGGAAGACTAAAAGGTGAACTTATGGAGTTATGGCTGAACTCCATTTCCCTATGACTAAAACGACGCTTTATATTATAGGTAGGAAATTTTTGCAATTAAGCATTTACTGCGTATCCCATCTTCTAAACGTAGCCATATATTATAGGCGGGAACTTGTTGCAATTAAGCATTTACTGCTTCTTATTGCTATTTTATATTAGATGATTACTTTATTATTATTTTTATTATAATAATAATGTCATACTCTATAAGCTCATTTGGCTTTAAATTATTTATTCGTTTTTATAAACTATAATTCTTTATTTTTGAAAGCACTGATGCGGTTATCGATTATTTTGGATTTAAGAATGCATCTAGAATTATTTTCATGTGTATGTATAATTGTAAAAAGCTTGTGAATTTTTGTTTCAAGTTATTTCGCATTAGTAACTTTTCACTTTATTTAATTTATATTTTAGTTATAAAAATATATTTTAAATTAATATAGAGCCCATTTTTGTTGATACAGCATGTGCCTATAAAATGATAGGACCGAGCCTGAGTATCAGAGCTTAGGTTGCGAAATCTTAGAAATAGGAATTAAATTTGATTAGGCATACAAAGTGGCTTTGATACAACATAAAAATAAAATTGATTAGATTCTGATACAAAGTGGCTCTGATACAACATAGAAAATAAAATTGATTAGACTTTGATACAAAATCGCTCTGATATGTTGCGAAATCTTAGCATAGTAGTAGCAAGCTTGGGCATAGTATCATGGCTTAGGTTGTGAAATTTTGGGCTAGAAAATGAAATTGATTAGGCTCTGATACAAAGGCAGAGGCAGGGATTGAAAAATTATTGCACTTATTAGCTTGAATTATCCACAATATATATTATATAATATAAATGTTGTACTCTTGATTTGTTGGGCTTGTAGTCACTCTCAGAATCTTCAGGATCCGTTTAACCTGATTAGGTCACGTAGAGGGAATGATTGCTTAGACATGTTTAGAAATCAATAGTATGCATAATTACTTTTCTTTAAGCACAATAACACATCAAGGGCAGAGCAACTTTACCCCAAACCTATTAACCACAAAAATTATAAACAAAATTATTACAAGTCATAATAAAGTAATAAACTGTAGAACACATAAATAGTAAAATGAAAAATATAGAGTTTTAAAAGTAGTTATACACTAACTAAGAGTTCATATTCTCAACCCAAGTCCCATCACAATCTTCTTGAAGGTTGCAACATCTTCACAAAATAAAAGATTGAACAAAATAGTTTCATTTATACCTAAACTGATAGTGTCTCCTACATGAACACGTAACAAGTTGTACAATAAGACACTCCATGACGTTCTACATATAATAGCATAGAAGGATGGTACAAGTGATAAAAAGTAGCAGTTTTATCGTAATCGGCCTCTTTTTGTAGGTTGAAATACGTTGTCTACTAAATTTAGAATATATAGGCACACTTAAATTTAGATGACTCCATTGCACGGAAAATTCATCATGCAGCAAAGTAAATATAGATGAAATCCCATGATCGAACAAATGAGAAATAATACATGAAGCTGTTTACGTTTTCATGGATAGCGTGAAATTACAAGAAATTGAATTGATTGTATTATAGGTTTTTTTCATACAGTACAATAAAAAAACACTTTCCACCGTCAATGGGCATTGCTGCTTCTTAGTAGATATAAAATATCACAACAAAAAATGAATTAAAATCACACCAAAGAAAACAAACCTTGGAGTGAGAGTCTTCATTCCAACATATTTTATTCCCATTATCAACATAATCATACAAAAGGAATTCTGATTTATCACCTTGAACGATGCCAGGTAAAAAACTTTGTAAGCAAGTACCAGAATAATGATGATTATAATGACACAAAGTACCAACTGCGATACACACAATGGAAAAAACACGCAAGTGATAAGTGTAATCAACAATCTAAAATTAAAATAAGTGTATAGTGTTGTTCATGTAGATTTTGAGCTCATTATGCAAATACACTTAATAAGAATAGAAAATACAAACATTTAGTGTGTAACAAAGATGATGCAAAACCAATCCTCTCTAGCGGCTGAAAGAATAGCTCTCCTTGTGTCACGCTCGGAAGTCCAGTTCAACTTTCGTTGCTGCGCATATCCCCAAATCCGAATTCTCTGTTTGTCGACAAACGGCAAGGGAAAGGGATACAAATGGGCTTTAATTGATTAAGAAGAAAGTGGGCTCCATAATATGACTTAATAATTATAACACACATAAATAATATACAATAATCAAACTAATCACTAACTGGAGTCCTCGCTGCCC